AACAGTGGTTCTGATGTCTGCCTCTTTCCTGTTGCGACACAAATTAGACGGAATACCTTTCCAAAGTCCGCTGCGACGGTTGCAGCCTCCATGCTGTCTGCAATCGCCTTCCAGTATTGTTTACGGTCACTCTTGGCGGAACGTGTGGCTGGACGGAAAATACGAAATTCAGGACAATTGATCAGCCGCGCATCTCTTGCCTTTGCGGACAACGGCAGTGTACGCTCGGAGATCCAGTCTCTCTTGTGGCGAAGAATCTCACCTAACTGCTCCAGCGCTACTTCTCTGATGGACGTTTTCAGTGTAGACCACTGTGCGTCGACAGTTGAGTCATCAAAGAGAGTTTCGGCTCTGCGTTGTTCAATTGTGTAATCATATGCATTGAGTGAGATACTCTAACGCTGAACCATAGCTTCTGGAAATGGATTTCCCAGGATCGAAAATAAATTTCAAGGCCTCATGATCAGTAATGATGGTGAAATGATGACCGAAAAGGAACTGGTGGAAGCGCTTGACTGCCCTATATACAGCTAAGGCTTCGCGATGAGTTTGAGCATAGCCTCTTTCAGCTGCTGTTAACCGGCGAGACACATAAATAATTGGATGCTCATTCTGTTCAGGAATCGCACCAATTCCATCCAGTGATGCATTAGTAATAACAGTGGAATGAATTTTGGGATTGAACGAGTGAGGTACAGCATCAGTCTGCAGAAAATTTAGTAATTCACGTAAGCAATGTTCATGAACATCGGTCCAAACAAATTTGTCAGAAGAGAGAAGAAATAGGGGCGAAGCTTTCAGACTGAAATTAGGGATAAATCTAGAGTAATACTGTAGGGCTCCAATCAATGATCTGAGTTCGCATGTGTTCGACGGTGATTTGGCTTTTGTTAGAGTTAGTAGACGGTTCGGGTCAGGTTTGTAGCCATCACCTAAGTATCCAATACATTCAGAATAAGATACAGGACATAAAAACTTTTTAGGATTAACAGCGGAATTCATATCAGAAAACCTACGAAAGAGTTCAAGCAATCGTGCGTCATGAGTGAACTTGTTAGGAGCATGAACAATGATGTGATCTTGATATACTTCAACACTCGACACCACTAGTAATGTCATTCATAACTTATTGGAATATGGCAGGAGGAATGGATAAACCAAACGGCAAAAAATTCGATCTGTATAAACCAAAAAAGGTATTAATAGCTGTCAAGGTGGAAGAGGTTTAGTCTAACGGAATTTGTAAATAAGCATCTTTCAAGTCAATCTTTGAAAATACCTTAGAACCAGTCAACTTATTCAGAAGGTCCTCTGGTTCAACTGTTGTACATGTCTGCTTTAACAGTCTTGGATTTAAGGTGATTCGGTAGTCGCAACATATGCTGGGGGTCTTGCCATCCGATTTGAGTGGTGTGACGATTGGTGTACCCCATGCTGAAGACGCCACCTTCTCTATAACATCTTTGGAACACAAGTTGTTCAGTGCATTCATGACAAGTTCACGAAGGTCATATGGATTAACTCGCGTTTGAGAAAAACTGGGTCGCCATTAACTGGGGGAATTTTCATGCCACCACTGGCCTTTGAGCATTTAATAATCAAATCTTTCAGTTCATTTTCAGTATCGATAAAGGTTAACAAGGAAAGATTGACAATGAATGCTTGCATAACTTTCAAGCTTAGTACGGAGGGGCCAGACTTGGTTACCATAAATGTGCGGGTAACAATTTTAGAATGTTCATCCCTGACCGAGATCTCACAAGAACCAACAGTGTTCAGTGATGCCATTTATGGTGACAGTGGACGGCCGGAGGTCAGCATCTGGAGGAAACCGAAATCATGAACAGAAATTAGAGATTCCACATCTCCAGTGTCCAAAATGAAATGAAGTGAGTTACCAGTAGAACTGAATAGTTGTTTACGAATGTGACCGGAATGGGAGGTAATTGCCAAAGAGTCCCGGGATCACATCACGAATAGTGAAAGCTAGAGCAGCTTTCGCCAACCTGCGACACCTGTGGCGCCGCCATGACATCCGATTGTCCTTTAAGGGAAGGGCGTATATCGCCGCAGTTCGTAGCGTTCTGCTTTACGGTTGCGAGACCTGGCCTCTCCGAGAGGAAGATGCTAATCGACTTTCTGTGTTTGACCACCGATGTCTCCGAAGCATTGCTCGTGTCTGGTGGGAACACCGGGTGAGCAATGATGAGGTCCGTCGTCGTGTGCTTGGTGTAGATAGTCGCCCTCTAACAGAAATAATCGCTCTACACCGCCTCCGATGGCTGGGTCACGTATTGTGTATGCCTGCCCATCGACTTCCTTTACGTGCTCACTTTGCACGTGCCGGGCAAGGCTGGAAGAAGCGGCGCGGCGGTCAGACCATGACATGGGCTAGAGGCATGAAGAAGCTGGCTTCAGCTTTGGCTTCCGTTGGTGCAGCCCGCCTTCCAGGTTGGGGCCCAAGGGATGAGGATTGTCTATGGTTAGAGACGCTGAGAGATATGGCGCAGAATGGAAGTCAGTGGCGCGAATGCTGTACGATCTGTCTATCGAAATCCCGTGACCCCTAAGAAAAACGAAACATCAAACAACAACAAAAAATTGCAAAAGGTGTACGGTGAAACACACAAAAAATTCTGTTGTATTTTCTATGTTTAACTGTCTCACCCACTTTTCACCATGTTCTGCATCTTAATCCACCTATCCCCTTTCACTGAGCATAACGAAATCGCCAGGGAATGACGTTTGCCACAGGATGCACAACTGCCATAGGATTAATTCGAATATGTAACATGTGTGAGCTAGATTGTGTAACTGGTTTTACCCGTTCGGCTGTGGCATGAACTTTCGCGGCTTTAGTTCGGAGTGAATTGAACACGGCTGTAGATTCGATGGTCGATGGCATGGATGAAATAGCGGCGCCAGTGCGCTGATCTTGTTCACAAAGGGCCCGCACATCTTCGAACGTCGGATTGGATAGATTTCGATGTTCATTTCGCAAAACAGTATTGTCGTTGCCAGCGATCTCTCAACTGAATGTCCAGTAAGTCTCAAAAGTCACACTTTGCAGCTTGAGTGAACAAATCCAAGATGAATTCACGGATGCCCTGATTCGGATTGGGTACCATTGAGTGAAATTCCGCCCTCTGAGGCTTCAAAGTTTGTTGGCTTAACATGCTGTAGGAGGGATCTTTGTAGAGACGGGATGGAATTACACGACCTGCGACAACGATCCGATCTCTAATTCAACCGTGTTTCTCGATCACCCGGTATGAATCAGGAAGAACACCCGGTTAGTCGAGGGAAAGTATATTGTTCCCTGAAGCACCGGAGTTTTAGTCTGACTATGCTCGAGAGTGTCTGAAAGCGAAAAGTGCTTAGCGAGAGAAGGTGTAGCTCTGAACTCACGCACCGTTAAAAGTGAAGTTACTTCACTGGCGGCGGCAGTGACTTAAACAAAGATGAAAGACCTAGGTGATGAAGCGGTCTCAGGATATCGAAGACCCTGGCGGAAACTATTCTACAAAGAAGGATGAACGAGCGAATGCTCCAAGCAACCAATGCCTGCAACCATGCGAAAGCATACATTGCGGAACAGGCAGACAAAGGTGGTGACAACTCTCGAGCTTGTTACACTGTCGGTCTTAAGCCACTACATCACCTCCCCCCTCAAGAAGGGTACCGTAGAAAACCTGTGTATCTCAAGCCGAATCCTAACTATGTGTAGCGACACTATTAACGCTCCAGCTAAAAAAGGATTGGTCATAGGACACAAGTGCAATACAAAATCAAAATGAAGCGTACAGTTAACAGGTATGGCCAATAGGTACAACCAATCCGACCAAGGGTTTATGTACTGGCAGTAACACTAAGCACATGAATTTTATTATTTGGTTAGTATTTTGCACATCACACACAGTTCGACCACGAGCAACTCTTCCTTTGAAGAGGAGTTGAGGCGCGGTGAACTGCCTAACTGAGGACAGTCAAATGCGTCGGACACTGTCGAACGAACCGTGAGGGAGGTGCCAGACAGCGATGGAGACCCGTAACGCAAGGCATGCTAGGAGGCTCCACGCCTCGTCCTCGCCTTAGGTGTCGTGAGTGCGATAAAAAGAACAGTCTGTAATAGAGTTCGCAGGTGCCAAGTGAATTGGTCCATATTCAGTATAGCTGACCGAAAAGTCTTCAAGTGGTTAATCTTCAGAGCAACGTGTGGGGCTCTGAAAAAGAACAGACTCGTGAAAACAAACAGCACAAAAGAACGCAAGAAACCGTTGCTTCAACTACGAGGAACCGTAGGAACACAAAAATGGAAAAACGCGTTTTTTTGGTTTTCTAGCTTTGTGACTTTTTTGGTTTTCACGGATTTTTTGAACTTTTTTGATGTTTTCAAAACGCGTTAGGATGTCAAAAACGGCGGAGGAGTAATGAAAAACACGCATGAATCGCCTAGTCAGTATTCAACGTATTTAGAAGGGAAACGAACTCTACGACCTGATCTAGTAGAGGTGCAGAGCGTAAGGTGGAGTCCGCTGCGAGTGCTGTCGTCGGAGGAGGGACAGAACAAGCGGGTAAAGATGCAGGAGGTTCACAGGAGGGTAAGAATTAAGAGTCGCAAAGGGGATCTGGATAGGCAGGTTTCAGTCGATCCAGGGAAACGCTATCCCTTTTACCATTGCGATCGATAATAAAGAACTTAGATTCACGACGGACCACTTTGGAGGGACCATCGTAGGGCGGGTGAAGAGGTTTTCGGACACCATCGAATCGAACCCAGACGTGAGTGCAGTGGGCCAGATCCTTATGAACAAACACACGTCGTGACTGCGGACGCGATTGAGTAGGTGTCAGTTTTCCCATATGGAACCGGAAGTGTGAGACATAATTGTCTATGTCTGTAAACTTCTCTTGCGTGGTAGGAGAAATATAGTCTCCAGGCCGACGCAAGGTGGTGCCAAAAACTAACTCGGCTGCAGTGCACTTCAGATCCTCTTTGAGCGAATTGCAAATGCCATGAAGAACTACGGGTAAAGCTTCATCCCACGATAGGGGGGAGCGAATGGATAGAGCCGCCTTGAACTGACGGTGGAATCTCTCAACAAAACCGTTTGCCGCAGGGTGAAAGGCGGTGGTGCGTACAGAGTATTGAATAACAAAGATTCAAACTGGGGTCCGCGGTCGGTGGTAATGGTTGCTAGGCAACCAAATTGAGCAACCCGCCGTTCAACAAAAGCTTTCACAATGGTGGCAGCGTCAACGTTGGGAATTGGAATTGCTTCTGGTCAACTGGTAAAACGGTCGATGCAAGTGAGAAGATAGACAAAACCGTTCGAGGGCTCAAGGCGGCCTACGATATCCAGATGAACGTGGCTAAACCTAACATCAGGCGGTGCACAACTACCGATTGGGGTGTAGGTGTGGCGATGCACCTTGGCCTTTTGACAGGCCTCGCAGGTGCGAGCCCAAGAGCGGACGTCTTTATTC